TCTCTCTCTCTCTCTCTCTCTCTCTCTCTCTCTCTCTCTCTCTCTCTCTCTCTCTCTCTCTCTCTCAACGTCGCTCTCTCTCTCTTAGTCCCGACGAGAACTATCGGCACCTCTGCCACTCGCCCTTCTCCTGCGACGCCGCTCTCCCTCTCTCTCTCTCTCTCAGTTCCCCGTCTCTCTCGGTTCCCTGTCTCTCCGCCATCTCCCTGTCTCTCTCGGTTCCCATCATCACTGTCGTCACCTCCACCATTCTCCGCCATCTCTGTATTTTATCTTTTGCAGGCACTACATCAACTTGCAGAAAATCTACCAAACAAAAGCTGAAGCTGATTTTCTATCCATGGAGCAAAGAGTGAAAGACATCCTAGTTAAAGTTGGTGGAGATCCATGTAGTATCTCAAAACAAACTATCAAGAGCTTTTGTAAGAATGCAAGAAAACTTAAGGTGAGAATATTGTTGTTGTATTATTAAAACCGATTGAATAGAGTAAAAAAGCATTGGGGTATGAAACTTGTGTAGGTATGCAGATATCGTATGATAAAGGATGAGTTCAGCAATCCCTCTGTAACAGTTTGATGGGTAAGTGAATACATTCTGGAAAAAGTTGACTTTGTATCCTGAGCAATTTGGCGTGGTCAGGCTTTTATTGACATATTGATATTAAAGTGGAGATCTAGAAGAGGACGCATCTCTGTTACGAACTACTGCTCTGAGTCTTATTAGCGAAATGGGTTGTGACGGCTATGAACTTCCGGAAGCACTTTGCAGTGAGATGTGCAGATTTGGCGCTGCAGAGCTTCATGTAGTTGCTGCTTTCGTTGGAGGAATCGCATCTCAAGAAGTAATCAAGGTTCGGTTTATATCTCTGCCTCTCAAGATGTTTGATTTTGGAGCTAGACGTCTTACCGTTTTATGTTTTTCAAATGTTTGCAGCTCATCACGAAGCAATTTGTTCCAATGTTGGGAACTTACGTTTTCAACGGCATTGATCACAATTCTCAGTTATTGACATTATAGAAGATTCTTAGAGACACTGGTGGCGGCTACAGACAACTCCAACTGTACTTTCATCGGCAACTCGAGTTGAAAAAGTACTTTAAATACAGTTTGGAGTTTTCATTTCTGTCATGCACCAGACTGATTAGAGTTTCATTTCTCCATATAAAAATTTGGAATTGCTGATGAAATGTATCATTTGATTCTTGAGCCGCGGTTTAAAAACCGAAGAGCTCGTGTTACATATTACCCTTATTTCTTACTGATTGGTAAGGTAAAATCATGCCATCGTCTCAAAATAACGTCAGAGACCAGATTTTTCACTTTAACAGAGTGCAGGGGATTACAAAAGAATTCAACAAGCAACTGAATAGAGTTGTTTAGTGATTGATGAAAAAATTGGCAAAAAGAACAGACCTTGTAACATAGGTGTTAAAAAGAAGCTAACAGGAACAGACATAGCTACAAGGTTGAGTTACCCAACTGAATAAAATGCCAAGTTGCCTTTTTCTTTTCTTTTTCTTTTTTTTTAAAAATTGAATTTTAAATATGGTAGTAGAATATTTCCTAAAATATTATTTCTATATTTTCGGATGTAATAATATTTATCCGTAGAATTCAGATTCTACTAAAGGTAGAACTGTGTAAAGAGATATGAAATCAATTTCTACGTGTATTAGAACGTTGTGCGAATGTAGATTCTGACTTCTACTTGTTTTAGATTTAAGTAAGAATTTAGATTTCAATTTCTACTCTTATTAGAACTTTATGATAAGCGTGGAATGTGTATTCCAAACTATTTTAGATTCTTGTTATCTCCGTAGAAAATATATTCTACAGTTCGTAGAAATAGTGAAAAAAGTGGAATCCGTATTCTAATCCGTAGTATACGGATTCTAATTTCGGTAGAATAGATATATGAAATTATTATTTACATATTTTTAAAACTGGAAAAAAGTATCACTATATAGATATAGAGATTTCATAATTATGTACTATTTTTCTAAAAAAAATTTGCTTCATAAATCTATTTTTTTAAAATAATTTCGGAAATACATAAAGGGCATTAGAGTCAAAATTGGTACAGAATATAATTTAGACTAAAGGGACAATGTCCAAACCTATTTGGTCTAAAAAAAACAGTTTCCCCTTATTTTTTAGGTAAAAACAATTTAGTAAATTGTCTCTTTAGACTAATTTTTTAGGGAAATTTTATTTTTGCACTTTCTTTGGTACCAATATTCAACTTTAACATCAATCAAAGGATATTTTCAAAAATACATAATTCATTAACGTTTAAAAGACTAAAATAACTTTTACTTATCTTCTCTCGTGGAGATGCGTCGTCGCAGCTTCGCCCATTCCGATAGACCACAGGCCATGGTCTCTGGTTTTGCCAAGACGGAGCGCACCATGCTCGCTCTCTTCCTCCGCAGGCTTCACCTGTGGCCTCGGTTTCAGTTGGATGTGTCTCAGGAGCTTGAGAGGGAGCCGCCTGAGGTTGTTGATATAAGAGTTCCAATGTCGAGTTACATGGTGGGGATACAGAAGGCGATCGTTGAGGTCATGGATATGTTATTTTTTTATCCATAAGAGGTGTTTTGCCTATGTCGATAAATGATAATATGCAAATTTTTGCAGTATTTTGGCATTTGCGTTACTGGATTCCAGAGTTTGCAAAGTGAGGATGATCTCAAGAAGTCTTTGATAGATAAGTTATGCTCCTTATGAGAGATCACCCATGCTTATTTTCCAATAGACTTTCACAGCCTTCTTTCTTTCCCCAAGTTTGTGGCTTCATCCTTTCTCCAATTTGTGATAACTGCTGTGAGTTTTTTACTCAAAGCTTTTTTTTTTCATTTGCAGCTGCAATTACATTTAATTACGTGGTGGAAGTTTCGTCAAAGGTTTGAAAGTCCTTCACAAAACTGAGCTCATGAACTTGTATAGAGGCGAAGCATTCTCTCCATTCACTTCAATCTTACATCAGAGGAAAAACAAGTATCAAACCTAATTAAAGTATGAAATAGTCACCTTTTTTACTATGTAATGTAGCATTACAGTATCAGGCTATCGTATCAGTGATGCTAACTCTACAATCTTAAGTTAATGACCAGTATAACTTGTCACATTATGGTGTTTTTATATTCTCGTTGTGGTCTTAACGCATTGAAACCAAGGAGTGTTAGTCATTCTTTTTATATCTGTATTCTTGATTTCTTGTTATGATGAATGTGCAGTGGTCTTCAACGCATTGTAGATCTTATTAACTGATCGTAACCCATGTAAAAGCCCATTAAAGTATTTGACTTTCGAAGCTGGAAACAGTTGTCCATTTTCTAAGTCAACAAGCTTGTTGAGTTGTGTTAGAAAACTTTTGTTTGCTCGTCCTCATCGTTATTTTACCATAGAGAAGAAGACTTAAAACATAATTCTGTCTCGATGCCTAGATCAAGAACTTGTGTCTTGATTCTCGTATTGCCTCTAGCCTTGGTCTTGTACCTTTACAAGTACCTGCCTTCTCCAGCTATTGTCGAAAAATCATCATACAGCTCCATCTACCACATCTCCGTTAAGGTATAATAATCAGCTTTAAACCACGACAATTCATTAGCTAGTTGTTCCTTTACGCGATCATATTTAGTTCTAGTTGATTCAATTCTTCTGGGTACATACACTTTAGGACATTATTAACAACTCTATGATCGGACATTGCTTTCAGTTTTTCTAATTATGTTTGTCTTCATTAATAATTCAGTACAAAGACTTGATCTTTAAGGGGATATCCTTGGAGATAGGTTCTTGATTACTGGTTTCTGTTGCACATGTTTACTGTTATATATATGGCTCTATATGTGTCAAGAATTTATATGAGGTTTATGTTTAATCTATATATATTAACGAGCTCTACAAAGTTCTTCATATAATAACACAGTATCAAATTCTCTAACTTGCAGGACATTGAAGGGAATGATGTGAGTTTAAGAAAGTTCACTGGAAAGGTGCTTCTTATTGTGAATGTAGCCTCTAAGTGGTAAGCTTTTAAGTATTTAATTCTCTCTACTGTAGCCTCTAAGAACCCATCAGTGATGCTTAATCTACAATGTTTCAGTGATTATGATACAGTGACTAGTATAAGCTTTGTGTTTAATGTGTCTTTGGTCTTTATTGGGCAGTGGTTTAACTCAAGGAAACTACAAGAGTTGAACATTTTGTATGCCAAGTACAAAACTAAGGGCCCGTCTCTTACTTCTCGTTTATGTGGCTTTCTTAGGCCTGTAACTAAGGGCAGCATTGTTTAGTTGCAAGCTTTGTATGCCAAGATTATATACCTTTATAAAGGTTTATAAAACATTTTATAAAGATATGTAAAATTATTTTCAAGTCTATACCATTTATAAAGGCTTATAAAAAAAGTTATGAAATCTATAAAACCATTTATAAATGTTTATAAGAAAATTATGAAAGCTTATAAATAATGTTTTTTTTTCTTTTATGCAGAGTCGGTCTCTTGAAGGATGTCGTAACAAGGAAAAGCTTATAATGACACCTAAATAATGGTTTGTATGATAATTTATAAGGGTTTGTAAGGATATGTAAATAATTTATAAATGTTTATAAAACAATTTATAAAGATTATACAACTTTATAAAGGTTTATAAAGAAATTTATATAGATATGTAAAATTATTTGTAAGTCCATACCATTTATAAAGGCTTATAAATCAAGTTATTAAATCTATAAACTATTTATAAATGTTTATAGAAATTTATGAAAATGGTTCTATCTTCGGTTGTTCAACAGATACAGAGGCGTGCAGCTCTTTAGATAATAAAAGTTTTAGTTTTTTAGAGTAACCTTGTTCCATATCTCCCACCCAGTGTACATGTCAATAAATTATAGTCTTTTTGTTTTAGTTTTCAAATTTCTTCAACTGGATTCTCAAAAGCATAAAGTATCTTATGCAAGAACCAAAAGATCAGCTTATGTCATACAATAGGTATGCACGTGTGTTTCTTTATGTTGTTTATGGTGTTGAAGCCAAATCTTTGTAGTCACATAGTTTTCTTCCGTGGCAGTGAATTTCTTGTGGTATTCTTGAAGTTCTTATATGATCAAGATCCGGTGAAAGACCTCGTGGAGGTTTCTGGAGCTTTATAAAAAAAAAATTATAAGAGTATGCAAAATAAAAGGTTTATAAATCATTTATAAGATCTAGTAAAATTGATTATAAAGGTTTATATATCATTTTTAGACATTTATAAACCATTTATAAGATGTTATAAATCATTTATAAGGGTTAATAAAATAATTTGTAGGGATAAAAAAATCATATTAAAACATTGCTCATAAGTCCCCTTTATTTATAAGCGTTTATAAATTAATTTATAAGAGTTTACAAAAAACATATAAGGGTTTATAAATCAATTCATAAGAGTTTATAAATATTTTGTAAGAGTTTATATAATCATTTTAAGAGTTGTAAGAGTTTATACAAAACTATAAGGGCGTACAAAACCATTCAATTACTTAAACAAAAATTTTAAAAGCATCATGGATATATGTTTAATAGTAAGATTCTAAAAATAATTACTAAGGATTTATAAATAATTTATAAGGGTTCATAAAACATTTGCAAGAGTTAATATATTATATATAAAAGCTTATATATCATTTATAAAGGCTTATAAGAGTTAGTGAACTGATTTATGAAATTTTATAAGCTATTTTATAAGAGATTATATTTTGATTTACAAGAGTGTATAAATTGATTCATAAGGGTTGATAACTTGATTTATAATACTTTATAAAACATCTACCGGAGTCTATAACTTAATTATAAATATTCATAAACTAATTTATAAGGTTTTATAAATCACTTGAATCTAGCTCCAACAGAGTTTGGACTTGTAAAACTCAGTTCTTGTTAGTTTTATAAACTGAAACAAAGAAACATTGTAAACAAAAATCCAAATAAACAAGAATAAATGGTCCAGAGTTCATAAATTTTATAATGATCA